AGTTCGCAGCATCTGTTAGGGCATCTAGGCATGCTGGTAAACCATGGATGCCTGTCATTCTGGATACCAGCAGGCAACAGCAGCCATGGCGTTTCCAAAGGTGGCGTTATGGGCCGACGACTCATCAGCCCGGTTCGATGTCGTCCGATAAGTACGGATGACGTTTGTGGCCTAACATACCTTGGCAACGCATTTCTACTGTTCCTAAGGTATTGTTGCTGTTGCAGTGAATACGGACCAAAGCTGTGTAGGTAATGGCGTGGTGCTGAGCGTTACATCGAACGTCGAAGTGGCTGCTTCGTATGCGGGTTCCAGTAATAGAAAGTAGTCTTTGCCAAAGCTTGTCGGGATTCAAATCATTGATTTTATAGATGAAAAATGAAACAATGGCTTGTTATCGTTCACGGCTTAAGGTGAGCGTTTGTCATTTGAAGCTAGTTTACAGCTTCTTTAAGAAGGTGGAAGAGGCGATACAGATGCGTTAATCTTAGTTGTGGCTATGGGCTTGGTAGGTGACATTTTATCACTTCATAATTATTTACAATATGCGCATCGCGCGCCGCGACTCTTAACTTCAATGGCATCATACGCATTTCACATGCGGCGTGCAGCTAGCGCAAAACATAGTTGATGAGGAATCTCAATGGTTACAAGGCTGTGGTTTGCATGGCTTAATCTTGAAGGCATGATGTCCGCGAATTCGTTTTCCTGATGTCGGGACATGTGCACGGTAACATTCACTCAGGTACAATAACTCGTATAGTAACTGCATACCACAAATGTCTTGACATAAACGCAGGTATAATAGACTCGTTTATCAATGAGTAAAATTGGATGCTCTGGTCTGTGCTACAAACCTTCAGAGTTGATCTTTGCCCCCGCAATTGTGCGGAAAGGAGGGAGCGCGAGATCTGTCTGGCTTGAATAGCTATTTTTTTGATAAATTATTAATTATCTTAAGCATAATTGCTAGTTCCCATACGTGTCGGTTTACGAAAGGGTGCTACAGCAACGGAGCAATGGAGAGGGAACGTCCTGCACCTTCTCAACAGGTCCAAGTCTCCCTATACGTTACAATAAAATATAGCTATAACAGAGGCATCTGTAAATGCTGTAAGAGCAGCTTGTTCGGAGGCGCTGTCTGGCGCAATTACCTTGCGTTCAGTTGAGGAAAGACAAGCGGCCGAGGTCTCCACAACGTTTGCATGTGCTCAAATTTTATCCATAATTACAAGGTTTTCATATTTTATGTTTTAATAGCTAAGAACGAGCTTCACAGAATCTATCTTTGTTGATCGGCTGGGTCAGTAGTTGCGCAATCGGCGCGCCCACCACGACGGAGTACGGTTTTGGTGACCCAAAAAATGCATAAGATACTATTTCTTAATGCGAAAGGCTTGACGCTGCTACGCGGGCTTAGATTCCACCTTGCCTGTGACGTTGGCAAGGAACTGAGCAGTCAGGCTTGGCGTGGGCGCACACATACAGCAGCATCCTTGCTCCCCCATAGCGTTCGGTAGGTCACTTCAACTTCCGGAAATGTATTGCTGCCCTGGCGCACACACTCCTTCCACGCTTAAATTGCGATTGCGTAAGGCTAGAGCTACAACAGCACTTTTTCCGTTGCGGTTTCGGTTCTCATAACTTAAATTTTTATCCATTACTCGAAAACGCAGTTCTCATTATTCTTACGTTGTAATCCATCCCACGCGGCTTCTGAAATTTGATCGAGATGTTCTCTAACACGGGACCGGTATATCACCGACCTTCCCGCAGGCAAAGTCAGGCAGCGGTGCAACAATCAGCCCTGCCTAGTGAGCTTTCCGGACACTATTTACCAAGCCTCCTCTCAAGTATTTTTTTGTACCGGCAGCGCAACTTGCGATGGCGTGCTTGTGGCAATCCGCAAGGACGGCGTTGCTTGTCGCGCTCCTGTCCACGAGCCTTCTCGCCAGAGGCGCTCATTCGGCCAGCAGTGGTGCACTGAAGAGGAAGCCCCCATCTCCACCCCTGGAGGTGCGTTCGCTGCTCCGAAACCTGTTTTCGAACTTTCGAAGGAGGTTTGAGATGTTTTGCTTCATTGATCCCGGTGGTGGTGGGCACGTGCCGGAGCCAAACCAAGTGCCCCGTCGCGAGCAACACACGTTGTGTAGCTTACCTGCCCCAATGGGGAGGTGCACCATCCCTTCCTCGAGGGACGTCGAGTTGCTCTGGCCGACAGTAAAATAGACGCCAACTGCTGCATGCTCAAATACGATATGATGTAATACATTAATATACATTTACAGACGCTCGTACCCACAACCACCTGACTGTGGACCCAACGCCCCACTGCATACTACCGTTACTGCAGTTAGAGCATTGAAGGCAACTCACGGAACCGACATATAACCGGCACCTCTACTCAACACGCTGTGCAATTCCGAAAATGAAGTGAAATGATCCATATGGACTGTTGTTTTGTGGGTGACCTCCTATTGGCGGCTCGATTGCAACCATGGGGAGACCAGGAGGGAAGGGGCCGTGAGCGCCGCAACTGAAGGGGGAAGAGTATAAGTAAAAAAGCACTCCGCCATATGTCGCTCTGAACATTTACCTTCCTTCAGCTCGTAACCCCTTCCTTTTTTTCGTTTCTTCCTTCACTGTCCGGGGCCGCAGGATCCCCCTCCGGAGGCGTACCTTCCACCGCCCGATGATTATGAACCACCGTCCCGAGACCCCCCCGTAAAGCTGCCGCCACCGTCACCACGATCGCAAGGTGGAGGGGTTGCGCCATCTGGAGATGAGAAGGACACAGCCTCACCTCCTCCTCCTCCAACGTCCCCTCCTCCTTCCCCTTATTCCAGGCCAAGCAGGCTCCTGCCTACACCCCCACCCTCCTCACCAGCCGCTCCATCCTCACCACCGCCGGTATCGCCCCTACAGCCAACACCGTCCCTGCCGCAACAACCCCCTCCGCATGCTCTTTCCTTACCGCAATCATCAATCCCAGCTCAACCCTCGTCACCCCTCGCTCCGCAACAGTTACCGCTGCTGCCGGCATCGCCCCTGCCGAAGCTGCCCCAGCAGCAGTCTTCTGCCATGCTTTCCGGACCGCCATTAGGTCCGCAGCCGGCGCCAGTCCCCTCCCCAGCTCTTCCCGCTCAGGTCGAATCAACACATCCATCACCCGGTGAGTTTGCAACTGGCCTTCAGAAGAAGCATGGCCTTAGCAGGTGCTTTTCGAATGAAAATCATCTTTGCTGCACAGAGGTTCGCAGTAGATTTTTCCGACGGTCTCTCTGTGATGTTATTGACCACCGCCCACAACGCAGTGTCCCCTTGCACAGATACTCCTTATGAATTCGCAGTAACAAGATACTCTTAGTCATCGGCACTATCCTAGATTAAAACTTGACGGCTTTCATTTTCGCTGGCGGTGTCGGTGCTGTTGTTGTTGCTGTTGTTGCTGCTGTTGTTGCTGCTGTTGCTGCTGTTGTCGTTGTGCCTGTAGCTATGGAGCTGTTTTGCCATCGTTGCCGGTTGTTATGCGTCCTGTTGCTGTTCTTTCCACTAGTCCGGTAACCCCGATCTAGTAGTCCGGCTTTTGGATTTACAACGTGCTCACCGTGGCGGTGTCCGCTTGGCGCCCTAGATACCTTCGTCATGCCCCTCCTCGCCAAGTTACTTGATAGATGCATATTTACGTCTGCATGGCAAATGCTCGAACGACTGATGACGCCGTGCAGATGCCACCCAAGCAAACTCGCCGCCGGCCGTTACAGGCTCGGTGCCTCATCCGGCGATGTACTCTGGCATGACGGTGACGATGCCGCCAGTCTACCTGCAACCATTCCAAGCCCCGGCAACGCCGTTGCGAGGTGGGCCCATCCCGCCACCTTCGTACGGCGGTGACGTCCTTGGCTCGTACGGTGGTGACGTCCTTGGCGCGTACGGTGGCCCCAGCGGCCATGGGCAACATGCTTCCCAGCCCCCTATCGAGGGATCCGTTATGAAGGATCAGTTATTTGCGGACCAACTGCAAAATGAAGACCAGCAGTACGGCAGCCCAAAACCGCATGATGCCGATGCTGTACTTGAGCATGAGCATGAGTATGAGCATGAACAGCAGGCGGGCGGTCGCCGTATGCTGAATTTATAGAGCAGGAGACCTTCGGAACTGAGAAGCCTGCAAGGGTTAGACCCGCGAATTGCGGTATAATAAGGACAACGAATGAATGACGTGGTCGATTGGTAGTGGGCGAGAGGACGTGGGATGGCGATGTCTAATGCAGGAGGTGTTGCCGCTTCGGCTGCATGCTTCATAGTATGACGCCCGTCAGTCCGTATGTCTATCTGTCCATTTACGCAGTAATGAAATGGCGGGCTGGGATGGGGGGGTAGGTCACATGAATTCCAAATACACAGCATGCTGTGAAACCCAACCTAGCCCTGATTACCACTTGTAAAGTTGGTTCAGAGCTCCGTACACTTCATGACCTTGTCGCTTACTAAGCCACGAAGCTCCTTAGTAATGTGTGTGGCGCGTGCTTGAGTGGGATTCTGGCGGGGGGTGCTCTGACGATTTTCAGTTGCACGTTCCGTCGTCAAGAGTGAGCCGGCGGGGCACGAGGAAGATGTTCTTTTTCGCGCACGCGCACGTGTGTGTATTTTAAGGCAGACTGTCATGTAGTATAGTACGGTGATACGCGTCTTGCAAAGGAAGAGCGAATTTCATCCTCGGGAAGAGGCCGTAGAGAGATACACAGGGGGTTAAACACCAGGTTGCATGGGCAGCTAGAGCCTTTGACTTTACAATCCCAGCCCCCTGCATGTCGCACCAAGTTCTCAAGACACATAGGAAGGTTTGACGCAAGACCGCACTCACTGCGCCGCTGCGCATTTAATTTCTTCGGAGGGTGCGCGCACGTCGATGGTGGACTCTTCTGGTCGTTGCTCCTTTCCCAAGAATGGAAGGCAGTTACGCTTTTTCGTCTCATTCTCTTTTTGCCCTAAGTTACCTAATACGCTGAGAGACACAGGACGCGAGAGCTCCTCCCCATGGCACGACCGTACATGGTAATATGCCGTACTGATGATGTGTCCCATCGTGCGCTTACATTGCGTACCCGTGGGTCCGTACCATGCGCGGGTGGGGGCATGATCTCTGACAGCGGGCAGCAGTGGAGGATAGCGGCCGGGTAAATCTCAATCGATATGGGCAGCGAGGGGTGGCAGCTCACACCTGCTCTGCCTGCGTGGTGAATGTATATGTAGAACGGATACACGGAGAGGACGGTGTAGCGGCTGACCGGGGGGGGGGTATGGAGCAACCCTTGGAAGGCCCTTCGACATGCGTGGATGCTTGGATGTGTTGTCTTGGACAGTGCGGACGTCGTACATGTACACGTAATCTGTATGTCTGTGCTGCCTGTGGTACCGGGATTAACCGACTTCCTTGATTGGTCACATTGGCCAGGTGCAAGCGTACAGAGAGCGGTTTAAAACGGTACGGCATAACCGACAAATCCGTGTGTAATCCACATTCGTTCAGCATGGAGACCCGCGGGCATCAGCAGAACGCCGGAGCATAATGGGCCAGAGGGTCTGCTGTACAGCGCCCGTACGGACATTTGCTTAATCAGGCTTTATCCCAGGCGCAACGCGCCTTTTCTCAGAAACTAAGACCATTGTGGCCCTCCTATCTTCACACATCTGCAACGCAACTTGGGAAAGGTCATGAGGTAGGTAGGGAGGAAGGTGATGAGGTACCAAAGATATCTGCGGCAGTAATTTACACTGCAGGTTTGGGTTGGGGACAGTCAAGGTGCATGGAAGTATGACTGGTGAACCTGAATTCACGTCCTGATGTGAACCGGTTGATTAATAACAGCAGTTACAGGGGGGGTTGGTACGGGGGCCTTGAACAAAGCTGTCGTACACCGATAGGGCTATCGGAGTACGACAGATTTTTTTTCTACGTAGATGAGTAATGGTGGGGCACAGCTGTGCCACGGGTTTGTTTTTTGTTGTGGCATCTTTAGCCATGCCATGATGATAGCTCCTCATGCTATGAAGACAGCCATCCTATAAATAGCAATCTATCTAGCAACTGGCACCGCGACATGCCGTCTTGTAAAGTATTATATATTATTTAAGGTGCATTTTTAGTGCATGCGATATACTGCTCGCGTGGTGTAGTGGTTAGCACTGTGGACTCTGAATCCACCGACCTGAGTTCAAATCTCAGCGCGAGCTGGAATGGCAGCCGCATCAATCGCTTGATCTAGTTTCAAGCCATTTGAGTGGTAGATGTGGCTACAATACCAAAATTATTTATGTCATCATTCATACGTGTTTTGCAATGGTCTGTATCACCTTTTTGTAGTGGTCTAGAACTTTTGGCTCTGTACGTCACTGTACGTCATACAAAGAGAATCTTCAATAGCCCGCATTCCTGTGCGTTGCCGGGACCCCAAACCGCGAGGGTGGTGAGGCGGCCGATCATTTTGCCATGACAGGGGGTGATGATGTACTACCGTGCGGAGGTTGACGAGAAGGCGGGTATCAAGTGAGAGTCACAGCAGGGCGCGAAGTCGCCACACATACCAGCTACTTCCTGTTCTGGTACACAGAGGATGGTGAGAGCCGGCCAGAACCCAAGCCTTACAATGGCGTGGTGCACACCTTTGTGCAGCTGCCAGCAGTTTGAGCAAAAGCAGACACCTAGAGGAAACATGCAACCATAAATCCATAGACGATCCTTTACGCGCTAATTACGACAGCAGAGGCGAAACCATGTAGCGCCATATAAGGTATTCGAGGACCAGTCGGCTGTCACCCTCACCAGGCCGCAGACACGAAGCCTCACTTCAATCACTTGCTGCACTTGTCGTCCTCTGTAACTCTGCACACACACTGCATTTCATGCAGTGATTTTTGTTGGGCGGGGCCCCAGCGCGAAGCGCCCAGGGGGGCCCCGACCTGTAGGATTGCCTATGTCCGTGTGTGTGTGTGTGTGTGTGTGTGTGTGTGTGTGTGTGTGTGTGTGTGTGTGTGTGTGTGTGTGTGTGTGTGTGTGTGTGTGTGTGTGTGTGTGTAACGGACCAAACATAATATCTCGCCTGGCTGAAACGCGTTATAGGTACTATACAGCATTCTCTATTGCAAGGTATCTCGCATGTAGCCAACAAAAATCGTATGAGCGCAAACAAGTTTGGCTGCCTCAATTGACCGAGGCCAAAGTCACATCAACGCCTCTCGCGCTAAATTTCATCGCAAAATGTACCGCGTATCTCATATTTGAATTCTTAGATGACGGCGTATGATAACTCGAACTCCCAGGCCTTGAGTGTGTAACGGACCAAACATAATATTTCACCCGGCTGAAACGCGTTATCGGTACTATACAGCATTCTCTATTGCAAGGTATCTCGCATGTAGCTAACAAAGACCGTATGAGCACAAACAAGTTTAGCTGCCTCCATTCACCGACCTCAAAAGTCACATCAACGCCTCTCGCGCTAAAATTCATCCCGAAAGCTGCCGCGTATCTCACAATGGAATTCTGAGATGACGGCGTATGATAACTCGAACACCCAGCTTGTGTTACCATTTGCCGGCATGGGCAATCCGACTTGCCACCAGCAGGCCAACATAATTTGCTTTCATTTCTCTATGAAATACACAAGCTGCTTGTTTGTACATTTACTTTGGCCAATGCACGGGGCCTCCTGAGACTTGCGGTGTGCCCCGATGAAGCCCGCGGCTGTGGGGCGGATTGCTGAGGCCGCTGGCGCTTCGGGGATAAACATCACAGACAGCACCGAAATTCACCCAGCTTTCGTTACCATTTGCCCGCACGGGCATTCCGACTTGCGGTCTGCCGCACTGTCCATGCGGCATGCACCCGGAATGCCGGGTCCATTCCGGGTGCATGCCCGGAATGGATGCGATTCGCGTGGAGCCCGCAGGCGGTGCTGACGATTCCGCCGGTGCAAGCTTAGCTCTCACACCATCAGCACTGCTGCAACAAAGCACATCTCCCACCGCGTTGACACTACCCATCAATTGTCACACTTGCCACCCTTGCTACCGGCCTGTACGGATGCAGAGGGGCCCCGCCCTTTTTCCGGCTTCCTTGAAGCCGACACCCAACTTGTCTCCCCTGCGACACAAGGCCAAAAATGCAGGGTCCTAGATAAGACTTTCCTGGCCCCCTAGTTTGACTTCATCGCTTTATTTCTTTGCATCATTCCGATTATGTCTCATGTCACCGTTCAGCATCCTCACGCACCTCCACGCGAATCTAGCAGCCCCGCTACTCGCTGAAAGCAAGCAAGTGCGTTGCCACCACAATCAATTCCTATGCCGCCATTGTGTCGTACGCAAATGCTCCTTCAATATTCACCAAATTATGCTTTACGCACACTACGACGTACGAACATTAGCGAACCCAACAGAACCCAACAGCAGGGGTGCTTCTCCATCCATCCATCCATCCATCCATCCATCCATCCATCCATCCATCCATCCATCCATCCATCCATCCATCCATCCATCCATCCATCCATCCATCCATCCATCCATCCATCCATCCATCCATCCATCCATCCATCCATCCATCCATCCATCCATCCATCCATCCATCCATCCATCCATCCATCCATCCATCCATCCATCCATCCATCCATCCATCCATCCATCCATCCATCCATCCATCCATCCATCCATCCATCCATCCATCCATCCATCCATCCATCCATCCATCCATCCATCCATCCATCCATCCATCCATCCATCCATCCATCCATCCATCCATCCATCCATCCAT